CGACTGCGGCCCGGCGTCATCTATCTCTCTGCAGGAAAGTATGCCGAGACACTTGCAAAAAACTTCGCAATTACTCCCATCGGCCTCACTACTCCTTTTTCCATATTCCTCCCAAGTCCACACCCAATACTACCCTACTTACCACCTTTGAATATTCACACGATGTGCCACATTAAAAAGTAGTTTCCCGATTTATCAGTCAGTGCAAACTGCTTGCCAGATTCAAGTGCGCAAGCCCCTGTACCCAGAGCCAATTTCATCTCACAGCACATGTTTTATTATGGTTTTAGATGGTTCGAGATGATTCCAACACTTGTGCTTGTAGGGGTACACACTATTTCAGTTTGGTGCACTCATCTGAGTTGGGGATTGCAAAACATGACAGCTGATGTTTACACTGTGGCAAATTGCGTCCGTTGAAAAGTGGGTCCACTGCCGAGCCTGGGATGGGGACTTTTGTTACATGTGACCATCCAGCATGGCTAGGGGATGGTGACGGATTGGTCAAACCCAATAATCCCTGATGGCGCTGGACTTTCGTCACCCGCACAAGTGGTTCAGATCATGTAAGCGACTATCGCTTCCGGCAAAGCGAAAAGTATGTAGAAATAATCTTGCAAATATCCTCAAGCGCCTTGCTTCATAATCTGATCTCAAAGTGGTTGCAAGTTGTCAATACATACAACCATTCCACTATTTCCAATGAGTTTATTGATTTATAGGCAAACAACACAAAACAAACGCGGTTCGTTACTGCCATGTGCGCTGCGAGTAACTTGCGCGCCTCGTGTTACGCCGAGTCGCACATGCCAAAGGGTCCGAAGCTGGAATGCTTGTTGAACACACCCCGTCCGAAACCCAACTTTGCCCCACGTCAATCTGTTTCTTGCCAATTCTGTGAGAGTACGCCCCCGTTACACTTCTTTTTCATTACTATATTTCATCTCCGTCTATTTCTCCCTTTTCTCCTAATTTATTCAAATCCTTACCTTATCTCATGTGTTGCATATTCTTTACTTTCCATTATCCTTTGGTTTATCCTATTATTATAATTATATCACAGACCTGGCTTGGGATGTACTGACGCGCTATATCTAGCGTAATCCTGTCGATAACACTTAAAGCCAATAGCCTCGCATGGCTATACGCAGGGTGATTCTATTTCAAGAAGGGTCTATTCCCTTTGGATATGATAAACCTGGTTACTTGATGTACCTTGGAAGTATAAAAATGCCTTGTATCAATCCATATTGCAACTTTCTCTCGACCATTTCGTTCCTCTGACAAATTCCCTTCCTTCCTTCCACTCAATCACCCCATCTCCTTTCTTTCCACCAATATTCCTTCAAACTTCTCTACAGCTTCCCCCTTCCCGTACGCAAGACGCTCACGCAACATTCATTGCTTTGTATCTCTTTCTCCTCCCAAGTCCGAACTTAACATTCTATTGCCCCAAGTCTTGAGTGTTCCGTTGTGGGTGGCGGAACCACTCCAACAACCTCCCATGTGGTTTTTCCAACCATGCACCTCCCATGTGGTTCACTCCTCTACTGCTTCCCTGTAGTCTTCATCCTTACACTCTAAGTCAACTCCATGCTCCCTTGCAACTGCTTGGCTTTCTGCCTCTGCTGACCGTGCTTATACGTATAAGCTCTCACTGCCAGACTCGAGTTACTCTGTGTCATACTCTTGCTGCTCACCTCTCTATCCAAGGAATCTCCTGTATCTCTTGCCCCTTCGGGTACCCCTCGCTATCACTGAACCACTCATCTGCATGTCGTGGCTGCTGAACCACTCATCTTTGGGGTCGGGGCAAAAGTCTGGAAGAAGTCAACACCCTCGCACTGGCTGAAGCCTCTAGCCATGTAATGCACCTTGAAGACAGGCAGCTCTCCAGGGGGGCGCTTCACCTTGAAGAGCCACCGACCATCGACGACTACGTTCACCCCAGGAGGGGGAACTGCATCGACATAGGTGTCGGTGGACCTCCAAGATGCCATCTCCTGCTCCATGGCAGCTACCCATTGAAGGGCCAAGGTCCCGAGGTGGCCTCAGCGTAGGTGCGAGGGGTCGGGATGTCAAAGGCGTCTGGGTCACCCTTTGGGACTAGGAGCATGGAGCAGAGATGGGGAGCGGCCTCGGACAGGAAAGCAAGCTTGTACTGCTTGTCCTCTAGAACGTCATTGCCAAGGGCAGGTGTACCCCCGACAGACGGAGGACGGGCAGGGTCAGAGACCAGAGCAGTGTTTAGTCAAGGCTGTGGGTAGAGGCGAAGTCAGCGACAGTAGCGACAAGCGCGTCAAGGCACGAGATAGGAACAAACGGATCTGTAACGAGAGAGGCAAGAACCCGAGGGACAAGGGACGAGCGGCACGAAGGTAGTCAGACAGCGGGGGAGGTGCAACAACAAGCGACGACGGAGGAGGCGACTGGAGGAGGGGAGGACGAGATGAGTGGAAACGGAGCAACATAGGGTGGGAGCACGGGACAGGAGAGACAGGACGAGCACGAGAGGGACGGCGAGACCAAACGTGGGACGGAGGTGTAGGGTCAGGAGACAGCGGAGGGGACACAAGACGGGAACGAGGAGGAAGACGGGCCGGAGACGAGTCCGACGGCGGGAACACATGGCTGTAGACAGGAAGGTGAGGAGGTAGCGGGGGAGACACCGGCGAGCAGTCAGGGGAGGGAAGGCCGAGCAGGCAAAGAGCGGAGACCGGCGGCGTCTGCTGCTGCGGCTGCTGCTGCTTGACCGTCGGACCAGCAGTGGCACAACGACCGCCGGCAGAACACTCAACGGCAGCACCCCCAGAACCAGCACCCCCGGAGCGAGAACTCCCTCCAGTACAAGCGTAACCCCCAGGCCCTCCGGAACAGGCCACGACAGGAGCCGCAGGACGAACACCCTCCTAAATGCCAGCACCCCCAGAGGCCAAGAGCGGCAGTGGCGACTGCAATGACGGCGACGATAGTTGCGGCTCTGATACCATGTTAGAAATAGGATACTAGGAGGTAGGAAGGGCCGCCATGAAAGTGGCGGCGGGGTTTAGCTAGGAGAGTAGGAAATTATCGAGAGAAAAGGGAGGTGGGACTAGGAAGAGAGAGGCATACTAGGAATCTCCCGTATCTCTCGCCCCTTCGGGTACCCCCTCCGTCGATGAATTCTCCTGTCCTGAATTTACCTCATTACTCTCACATGCCTCCTCCACTGTGCAATTCGGCGCTGCTACATGTAGCAGCACACCGCGACTACGAGCTTCACTCACTCGACTTCTCTATGGCCTTCCTTCAGGGCAGCCTACACGAGCAGGTCTACCTGCGCCGTCCATAGGGCTTCCCTCGTACCTTCCTCCCTGGGACCCAGTGGCTTCTCCGGCGCCCGGTCTACGGCCTGCGCCAGGCTCCCCGCGAGTGGCATGACACGTTGCGTGCCACGCTAGCAGACCTGCAGTTCTTCTTGTCCTCTGCTGACCCCTCGCTCTTGTGCTTTCCGGCCAGACCCCGTTCCTACATCCTTGTCTACGTGGACGACCTGGGTCTTCGCTACTGCTGACAGGGACGCACTGGCCCCCATGAAGGCCGAGCTGCTGAAGAGACACACCTACAAGTGACGTTGGAGAGCTGGCGTCTCTACCTTGGCGTGCAAATCTCCAGGGATACAGCAGCGCGCACCATCACTCTGACACAGTCACACTTGGTGCGTCAGGTCCTTCAGAGGTTCGGCCTTCAGTTCTCCTCCGCACAGACCACACCTCTACCTGTAGACCATGGGCTCTCTGCTCCCGTTCCTGAGGAGCCACTAGAGCCCAGCGGCCCCTACGCAGAGCTGGTGGGTTGCCTCATGTACCTGATGATTTGCACTCGCCAAGATCTCGCATACCCTCTCAGCATCCTGGCTCGCTTTGTGGCCACTGGCAGACACCGACCTCAGCACTGGTCAGCCGCTAAGAGGGTTTGCGGTATCTAGCAAGTACATCGGGCATGGGGTTAGTGCTTGGAGGACGCAGGCCAGTGGTCCTTACTGGGCACACAGAGGCTTCTTGGGCAAACGACGCTAAGACTCTCAGGTCGTCTCAGGGCTACTGTTTCAGCCTTGGTTTGGTTGCTATCTCTTGGAGATCCACTCGCTTGTTGTCTGTTGCTCAGTCCAGCTGTGAGGCTGAGATCTACGCCGGTGCCATGGCGGCACCGGAGCTCCGCTGGCTGACCTTCTTGCTCACTGACTTAGGTGAGCAGCCTAGCTCTGCCCCGGTCCTGTACGTTGACAACAGGGCCATGATTCTCCTGTTTCAGGAGCATCAACTTGAGGGCAAAGCGAAGCATATCCAGCTGCGGTACTTCCTCCTGCGTGAGCTACAGCAGAGTCGCAAGGCCCGCGTAGTTCACTTGGCCTCCGGTGCCAACACAGCTGATATCTTCAGTGGCACTGTGTACAACTTGGTCTTGTTCCTGTAGCTACTCACTTGCTAGGACCCTGATTGTGTTCTCTCTACTATATATACCTGTCTGACTGGCCTTGTGGCCTTACCTCCAGTGGCTGGACTAGTAGTGCCGCCGTGGCTTGCTCTAGTCTTGTTTGTACTCTTGCTGACTGGTCTCTGGACCCCTGCCTCAGTGGCTGAACTAGTAGTGCCGCCTTGAGCTGTGTGCTTCTTGCTTAGCACCACCCCTTCTCTAGCCTAGGGGGTGTGTCAACTTATACTTATACATCGGTGTGTGCTCCTAGTGAGTACAACCCCAACAGGTATATGTTATGTGTTTCTCTTACTAGTCATCCATTCGCGTATTCTAACACTCAAACCCTTGCCTCAGAGGTCGGACTAGTAGTGCCACCTTGTCCTGCTTGTCTCTCACTAGGCACTCCCCTACCCAGTCTAGGGGGTGGGTCAAACATATCTTTGTATGTTATATAGCGTGCATAGAGTCGTACCTTAGAGGGTACAAACTCAGCATATATTGCCATCTATGGTATGATTTCAAACCATTAGTTTATGCTAAGACTTAGTTCGATGTTTCGTATTCTCTTGTAAAACGTTATAAACCCTTGTACGGTATTGCCTTGCTATCATCAATCATTTGCTCTCATATACCAGTACAAGGGTTCAACTCGGATTTCCGCTATGCTACTAAGCACCCTATCTACTGAAGGACTTCGTCTCTGCCAAAGATCCCTGGCTGTTCTCAGCCCAATATGGGCTAGCGGTTGTGACGGAGGAAGCGGAGAGCAGCAAAGGACCCGATGCGGCACACGAGGCAGAAGCAGAGCAGGAAGAGCCAGTCCCAGTACACTGCGGAGCGCGCGGACCTGGTGGCAACGAGGAAATCCCAGAGGTACTCGGGTCCCTTGACAGGGTTGAGGTACCACTTGCAGGGGCAGCTGGCGCAGATAGGGGCGGCGCCGGGGCAGCCTGGGAGGGTGCACTCTGGTGCCGCTGTGTTGCAGTAGTAGGCTGCTGCTGTGAGCCCGTTGAGGGCGTACTGGAGGGGGGAAGGAGTGGGTTGGAGAGGGAGAGAAAGGGAGAAAAGGGGGAAGTGGTAAGGGATTGGGGCGTCCTGGGAGGGAGCACTCTGGTGCTGCGGTGTTGCAGTAGTAGGCTGCTGCTGCCAGCCCGTTGAGGGCGTACTGAGTAAGGGGAGAGAGGTTGGGAGAAGGAGAGTAAGGGAGAGAAGGGAAACGTGGTAAGGGATCGGGGCAGCCTGGAAGGGGGCACAGCGGTGCTGCAGTGTTGCAGTAGTGGGCTGTTGCTGTCAGCCCGTTGAGGGGCGTACTAAAGAGAGGCGAGGGAGGAAGGAATAGGAGAAAGGGGTGGGTTGGAGGGAAGGGGAAGTGTCAAGGTTTTGACACCAGCAGCCTCGGATTGGGCCAATGTGTTATCTTAATTGGTTCACCCTGATAGGATTTGATCAGCATTTGTTCCCTAAGCGGCTCTTGTACAGCCTCGGCGTTTGCTTCCCTGTATTCAGCAAGAGGTACTTTCACCTTTGGAGGAGCACAAGTGGTTTTGCAAATTAGTAATTTTGTACCAGTGATTTTGCACAAGTGGTCAATTGATTTGAGCGGGAATGGTACTGAGCATTTTTAAGCATCTAGCAAACGCTTGTACAGGCCTTAACCCCACAAAAGAACATGGCAATGCATGCTACACGAGTGCACGCAATGCCACGTTACCTGAATGGGGTTGGTCCAGTAGACTGCGAGGAAGAAGTGCTTGGTGAAGGCAAAGGGCAGGAAGAAGCCGCACGTGGCCACCCATGCTGTGATAAGGAATGAAATCACCACTGCTGCGTACTGTGGGTGTAGGGAGGTAGGTGTAGGGTGGGGGGGTTGGGGGTGGTTGGTTGAGTGCATTTGCAGCAACCCACGCGGTGATGAGGAACAACACCACCACTGCCGCGTACTGTGGGGTGTAGGGAGTATGGAAGGGAATAGGGGGATATGGGTGCACTAACGCCTGCCATGCTGTGACGAGGAATGAAATCAACACTGGCGTGTACTGTGGGTGTAGGGAGTGAGTGGGGAGGGGACAAAGGGGATGGAGAGGGGGGGGGGGGATGAAGTGTGTACGTGAGGCGACCCACAGTGCGCTGAGGAATGGTGCAACCACTACTGCGCACTGTGAGTGCAGGGAGTGGCCAGGTCAAGGAAGGTGAGCGCTAAATTAAGGCGGGGGCTAGAGGAAGGTGAGGCGGACGTTGTGACTTTGGCACTCCAACCATACTGTGGGCACGGAGAGGAGACTGCAATGGGATGTACATAATAGGGCAAAGGGAGGGGTGCAGAATTAGGGCTAGGAGAAAAAAGTTGTGACAGGAGGGAGGCAAAGTAGGCAGCGGAGGGGAGGAGGACCTGGCAGATCTTGGAGGCGTGTCAATACAATACCTCGGGTTTGGAAAGCACCCTGGGCTTATTCAACGCCCCATGGTAGGTCTAGAGAGTACCTTGAGTTGGGGCAGTACCTTGGCTGTAGGGTTGGGTTTCGGGTAGAAATCACATGTACCTTGGATGCGGTCCCACGTTCACCTTGGGATGGGATTCAGGGTAGATTCCGTGTGTACCTTGGGTTGGGCTGTACCTTGGGTTGTGCTGTACCTTGGGTTCGGGCAGCACCTTAGGGTAGAATTGAGAAGCACCTTGGGTTGGGGCAGTACCTTGGGTTGGGGCAGTACCTTGGGTTGCGGCAGTACCTTGGGTTGGGGCAGCAGCACGGAGAGCAGGAAGCCAAAGTAGGTGACAGCGAGGGCGGCGAGGAACTGGGTGAGACCGAAGGAGAAGAAGGTGCCCGCGCTGCCCACCGCCAGGCCAGCCAGCGGCGCTGCCACGCTGACCAGCGCGAGGGAGGTGAGGAGCAGAGGGGGGATCTGGCGGAGGGAGGGAGAGAGCAGGAGAAAGGGAGGCTTTTGAGGCACTGCCGACCGCCAGGCCTGCCAGGGCGCTGCCACGGTGATGAGGGCGAGAGAGGTGAGCAGCAGGTAGGGAATCTGAGGGGCGAGTGGGGAGAGAGGGGGGATTGGGGGAGAGAGGGGGAGAGAGAGTGGAATGGAGGAATATTAGCCATAATGTTACCGTTTCAGGATTCATAGATGTACCTCACTTCTGGTTGATGAAAGTTTGCCTGACATGAGTGAGCCAACTAGACATGTGGGTCAGCGAGCTATGAGTTTACACGAGCTTGTTTCGTCAAATGCTGCACAAAGAAAATCCCAGAGCTCGTTCCGCGCGCCATTTACATCCTGCGAAAGTGCTGGTTGTATGCGCGATCCATGGCATGTCGTGTGATCGTGACTTCGTTTTGAGACGTCTCAAAGCCTGCACACACTCTCACCTCCACTAGCGTGTGAGCCACTGTATAAATCTGCAAAAAGTGCTGGTTGTAAACGCGCTCCTTGGCGAAGATCTTCTTCGTCTGGTTGATCAGCCCCACGGCTGTGCCCCCATGGCACGTCGTGCCAAACGCCAGCACGGCAAAGGGGAATGCATGGGCCGTGGTGGCCTGCAGAAGATTGTTCACACGGTACTGGAAGAAGAGCGAGCCTATGAGCAGCCCCAGGATGGCGGACTGCACAATGCGGTTGAGGGAGTGCGAGGTGTTGCGCCAGTAGAAGAGGTGGATGGTGTGGTGCACTGCCAGAAACTTGCGCAGGCGGCTGGGAGGGGTGGGAGGGGAGAGCGGAGAGGCGTGGGCGAGGAGGGGCTGGAGGGATGTGGCGTGGTGGAGGGCGGTGGGGTGGTCTCCTGCCTTATGCTCCCCTTGCTGCTGGTGTGGATCTCCTGCGGCTGTGACTCCTGCGGCTGTGACTCCTGCTGCTATGACTCCTGCTGCAGCATCCGCTGCTGCTTCGGCTGCTGCAGCGGCGACTGCCTTGTGCCGTAGTGCCCCATCCTCTTGCGCACCCCTCCTTGCGTCTCCCTCTTCCTCCTCGGAATTGCCACCCATAGCAGCAGCATGCGCCCGTGCCACCCCCGCCAGGGCCTCTGCCTCCTCTGCTGCGATGGCTTCCTCGACTTCCAGCGCGGCCTGGGACCACGCCGAGTCAGATGCGGCCATTGAAACGCCAGCACTCTCATAGTCCATGCCACCTCCTCCTCCCATGGCCCTCCACCCAGCAGCAGCAGCACCCCCATACTCAGCATTGCCACCAGCAGCAGCACCGCCGGCAGCAACAGCACCGCTGGTAGCAACCAGTTTCGCAGCCTCCAGGTTAGCAACAGCAGCCCTGGCAGCAAAAGCAGTGGCAGCAGCAGCCCCCCCTCGGCGGAGGGCTGAGAGGCGGTGCGCGTTGAGCATGGCGAGGTCGCTGACTCGGTATTCCACCGCGTAGTCGCACGCCGTGGCGCGCTGGTGACCGGCGTCGCCGAGGAGGTTCTCTATGAAGATGATTGGGTTCGTGTCGGGGGGGACCGGGGGGGTGCCAGGGATGGCAGAGAAATACTCCTGCAGGGAGGGGGAAAGGGAGGGCATTGGGAGGAGCGAATGAACGGGGAGGAAGCGGGCGGTGGGTGCCTGGGATAGCATTATAGTACTCCTGAAGGGAGGGGAGATGAGGGGATGTGAAGAGAAGAAGGGACGGGAGGAGATTTGAAAGGGGCTTGGAGGGCGGCAGAGGAGGAAACGAAATGAAGAGAGAGAGATGCAGGGTGAGGGCATGCAGAGCGGAGAGTGAGTGCATGCAGAGCGGAGAGTGAGTGCATGCAGAGCAGAGAGTGAGTGCATGCAGAGCGGAGAGTGAGTGCATGCAGAGCAGAGAGTGAGGGCATGCAGAGCGGAGAGTGAGTGCATGCAGAGCGGAGAGTGAGTGCATGCAGAGCGGAGAGTGAGTGCATGCAGAGCGGAAAGTGAGGGCATGCAGAGCGGAGAGTGAGTGCATGCAGAGCGGAGAGTGAGTGCATGCAGAGCAGAGAGTGAGGGCATGCAGAGAGGAGAGTGAGTGCATGCAGAGCGGACAGTGAGTGCATGCAGAGCGGAGAGTGAGTGCATGCAGAGCGGAGAGTGAGTGCATGCAGAGCGGAGAGTGAGGGCATGCAGAGCGGAGAGTGAGTGCATGCAGAACGGAGAGTGAGTGCATGCAGAGCGGAGAGTGAGTGCATGCAGAGCGGAGTGTGAGTGCATGCAGAACGGAGAGTGAGTGCATGCATAGCAGAGAGTGAGTGCATGCAGAGCGGAGAGTGAGTGCATGCAGAGCGGAGAGAGAGTGCATGCAGAGCGGAGAGTGAGTGCATGCAGAACGGAGAGTGAGTGCATGCATAGCGGAGAGTGAGTGCATGCAGAGCGGAGAGTGAGGGCATGCAGAGCGGAGAGTGAGTGCATGCAGAGTGGAGAGTGCGTGCATGCAGAGCGGAGAGTGAGTGCATGCAGAGCGGAGAGTGAGTGCATGCAGAGCGGAGAGTGAGTGCATGCAGAGCGGAGAGTGAGGGCATGCAGAGCGGAGAGTGAGTGCATGCAGAGCAGAGAGTGAGTGCATGCAGAGCAGAGAGTGAGGGCATGCAGAGCGGAGAGTGAGGGCATGCAGAGCGGAGAGTGAGTGCATGCAGAGCGGAGAGGAGAGTGAGTGCATGCAGAGCAGAGAGTGAGGGCATGCAGAGCGGAGAGTGAGTGCATGCAGAGCGGAGAGTGAGTGCATGCAGAGCGGAGAGTGAGTGCATGCAGAGCGGAGAGTGAGTGCATGCAGAGCGGAGAGTGAGTGCATGCAGAGCGGAGAGTGAGTGCATGCAGAGCAGAGAGTGAGTGCATGCAGAGCGGAGAGTGAGGGCATGCAGAGCGGAGTTTGCAGAAGCCACAGTCAGACTCTCTGCAGATCCCATTGTCGGACTCTCTGCAGATCCCATTGTCGGACTCTCTGCAGATCCCATTGTTGGACTCTCTGCAGATCCCATTGTCGGACTCTCTGCAGATCCCATTGTCGGACTCTCTGCAGATCTCATTGTCGGACTCTCTGCAGATCCCATTGTCGGACTGTACTATAAGGCCTCCGCCATCAAACTGCTACAAAAGTAGGCGGACTGTGAGAATTCCTTGGATACCGCATCTCATTGCAGAAGGCGTGGTCATCTCTGGCGGGGTCATTGCCACGGCGGTGACATCACCACAGCACCACCGCTACAGTCAACATCACCACTACACTCAGCTCACCACAAGCGCGAGGCCGTTCCTCCCTCTCGGGCCAGGGTAGGCCATCCCTTAGGCATGCGACGATTTAGGCGCCTCAAAAAAGGCCCGCCCCCACCCACTCACCACAAGCGCGTGGCCGTTTCTCCCCGCGGGGCCGAAGAAGACCATCTCGCCGCCGCTGCCCAGCATGAGCAGCGAGTGGAAGGCGTTCAGATGGAACGCGGTAACCGCGTTGGACACCACCACCATGGCCCGCCCCCACACGGCTGCCACATGCTGTTAGAGGGGAAGAGAAGGGGGCACGAGAGAAGGGGGCACGAGGGAAGGGGGCACGAGGGAAGGGGGCACGAGGGAAGGGGCACGAGGGAAGGGGGCACGAGGGAAGGGGGCACGAGGGAAGGGGGCACGAGGGAAGGGGGCACGAGGGAAGGGGGCACGAGGGAAGGGGGCACGAGGGAAGGGGGCACGAGGGAAGGGGGCACGAGGGAAGGGGGCACGAGGGAAGGGGGCACGAGAGAAGGGGGCACGAGGGAAGGGGGCACGAGGGAAGGGGGCACGAGGGAAGGGGGCACGAGGGAAGGGGGCACGAGGGAAGGGGGCACGAGGGAAGGGGGCACGAGGGAAGGGGGCACGAGGGAAGGGGGCACGAGGGAAGGGGGCACGAGGGAAGGGGGCACGAGGGAAGGGGGCACGAGGGAAGGGGGCACGAGGGAAGGGGGCACGAGGGAAGGGGGCACGAGGGAAGGGGGCACGAGGGAAACCCAGATGAGACTCTGGGGGTCGCGCACAGGGGACACCACCACCCCCATAGCCCGTCCCCACGCCCCCTCCCCACATGCTGTTCGGGAGGAAAGCCGAGCAGACAGCACGCATTGGGAGGGCGGGTGTAGCGAAGGAAGCGAAGAGAGGAAGAGAGGGAATGGGGAGGATAACAGGGTGGTAGGGACCGACCTATGGGCATGTTCAGACAACTGTCCAAGCATATACATCCTTGTCCCCCCCCCTCCCCCCTCCCCCCCCTCGTTTCAGCTCCAAGTTCCTGCCCCTTGTCTCACCTTGAGCATGCCTGAGAACTTGGCGACCTCAGTGGTGTCCATCCTGAGAAACGGTGCGTCAAAGAAGATCACACTCGGGTTGCCCGCCATCTCCATCGCAAACACAATGCGCTTCTCCACATATGCCGACCCCACCCCGTCCGCCAGAATGTCCTGCACCAGGCAGTCCGCCACGCCTCCCTTGAACTCCATCAGCTCCAGAATCTGCGCCACAAACGCACGCCGCCGCTTGTCGGGCATGTGCTTAGGCAGTGTGAGCGCGGTGCGGTACAGCAGGCTCTCGCGCAGCGTGAGGAGAGGGTAGTAGAGGTCGGCGCCCTCCATGTACGACGTGTTGCACCGGAAGGACGGGGCGTCCCTGGGCTTGCCGTTCACCAGCAGGCGGCCGGTCAGTTGCCCCGGCACCTTGCGACCTGAGTGGAAGAGAGGCAGCAGAGGAGGGAAGAGAGAGGGTAGATGAGATAGGTTGAGGCGGCTTCAAGCCAGGTCCGCACCCTCCATGTACGGTGTGTTGCCTGGACTGGCCGTGTCTTGCCTGGGCTGGCCGTTCACTAGCAGGCGCTTGGACAGGAGGCTGGGTGGGCCCCCTGCCACCTGAGTGAGAGCAGCGCATGCAGCACACGACAGAGGGAGTCACTGGCGGCTTTGGAGTCATCTCGTCTCGGCAACTCAAGTCTTGAGGAGGATGGATTCGTGAAGGAATCATACTGTGTTGGTAGCACACCAATCTCCGTGGAGGTTCCAACAGACCAATTGACTTGCCAGCTCGAGTGTTGGTTCATGTGTCGAGGCCGCTGGTGCACAGTCGAGTAACTCAGAAGCTCACCTGCCAGGCAGTTGCCGGGGCTCCTGCCCATCCCCTCACGCCCTTCACAAAACAGTGGCTCAGCTCACCTCAAATCCTCTCTTCTGAGCCGACACACACACTCTCCCTCTCTCTCAAGCGGTCCTTAGGTATTAGCCTTATAAGTTGTACATGTACAATTCAGAGATGACAGGCAACATGTGGTCCCCAGCAGCAGCCTTCCGCTACTCTCCCTCTCTCTCTCTCTCACCTGCCAGGCAGTTGAGCAACGTAGTCTTGCCAGTGCTCCTGCCCCCCGCGATAGCCGTGATCTCCCCCGGCTTCACCCACCCCGTCACGCCGCGCACCAGGCTGCGGCTCACCTCGCTCCTCCTCGCCACACCGCTGCCGCCCCCAAGGCCACTGCTGCCGCCCAGAGAGTTCGTCCAGGAGCTCTCTGATTGGCTGGGAAGGGGCAAGGAGCAGGAGAGGCCTTCAAAGGTGATGAGGTATGGGGTGAAGGGGATGTTGGACTCCATCACCGCTGCCTCTGCCTCTGCTGCCGCTGCTGCTGCTGCTGCTGCCGCTGCTGCAGCTGCTGCAGCTTGTGCGGACCCTGCTGCTCCTGTGCCACCAAGAGGCCCCCACTCTGGGCCGCCCTCACCAACCCATGGCAGGGATGCTCCGCTGCCCATCCCTTGCATTGCCACTGTCACTGCCGCTGCTCCCGCTGCTGCCACCGCCTCCCCTGCGGCTGCCACTGCCTGCCCTGCAGCAGCAGCAGCTTCTTCTGCCACAGACGCCACTTGAGCAACTGTTTCTGCAACCACATCCGCTGCCCTTCCCGCTGCTGCCGCTGCTGCTTCGGCTGCTTCTGCTGCTGCCTCCCCAACTCTCGCCACACTCGCCCCCATTCCTGTTCCCCCAGAAACCGTCCCTCCCTTGACCCCGTCCTGCCCCTCACCACCCTCGTCCTCCCCCCTGACAATCACGCGCCTCATCCCTCGCTTGCTCTCACTCAGCACCCTCACTGCAGGCGCGAAGCTCTTGTAGTGGCTGGGCTGCATGCACAGGAGCGTGCCCGCTGTCCACACTGCAATCCACGCGAGAATCACGAGCGGCCCAGCGATCATGTACGCCCATTCGAAGTTCCAGCTGAATTCCTCCATGTACGCCTTGCCAATCGGCCACCCCTCCCTCCCCACACAGTACGGCATGGTAGCAGGGACGCGGTCCGGAGCCGGGCAGAATGCCACAGGGACGAATGGCCGGTGCTCGTTAATCACAAGTAACGTCGCTGCCCACTGGATGGGGTTGATCCAGTATAGCCAGATCCAGAAACTCGGTATAAGCACCTTCGCTACAAGCATGTGGCCGAAGAGGAACATGCCGGGGCCCATGAAGATGGCAGCAGCAAAGGCGGCGGAGCGCAGCGAGCGGGCGGCGAAGGCGATGAATCGGATCATGGCGGCGCCGTGGATGGCTACAAGGGCAAGCACAGCGAGGAAGATGAAGAAGTGCGCTCCATAGTCAGAGAGGCTCAGGCCCGTGAGGAAATACACCAGCACCGACCAGATGGTCGCCTGGCGGGGGGGAACGGGGCCAACGGGAGGAGGTGAGGGGAAGCATGAGAGCACGGCCACTCGAAAGCACAGCGCAGCATGAGAGCACGGCCACTCGAAAGCACAGCGCAGCATGAGAGCACGGCCACTCGAAAGCACAGCGCAGCACTTCCCGTTCCTGTTTTACCCTAGGCAAAGTCACGCCACAGGCCGTTCCTGTTTTACCCTAGGCAAAGTCACGCCCGACCCGCTCGAGCCGCTGCTCTTCGCTGCAGCTATTCACCCCGCCCTCCAGGCCACGGCGGATGCCCACCCCTCCGTCCTCTGTTTCGCCTACACCGACGACATCTCCTTCCTGGGCGACCCAGCCGACTGCTCCTCTGCCTTCGCGCACTTCACAGCTGCCCTCGCTGACCTTGGCCTGACGCACAACCCCGACAAGTGCACCGCCTGGTCGGCGACGCGACTGGCGCCGCACCTGCTGCCGCCGGAGGTCCCCTTCTGCACAGAGGGCCTCCGAGTACTCGGCACCCACATCGGACCTCCGGAGGGGGCTGCCACCTTCCTTAGGGCCCAGCTCGCCTCCATGGCGTCTCCCTTACCTGTCCTTGCCACCATGGACCCCCAGGTGGTGTCCTTACTGCTCCACCGGCGCATCTCTCGCCGAGTCTCATACCTCGTGAGCACGACACCCGTGAACCTGCTCCCGACTGCCGAGTGGTCCAGGTGGGGACAAGACCCCTTCTACACGCGCCTCCGGGCATGTGGCCTGCAGACGCTACGAGGGGAAACTGAAGAGCTTCGCACCTGGGCCCAGGCGTCACTATCACCTTCACTAGGAGGCCTGGGCCTCACGGACCCTGCGGTGGAAGGCCCGCACTCCTTCCTGACCAGCGCCACCCACGCTCACGCCCTTCTCGCCTCTCTGCCCGCCGCTGCTGCTAGCCCTCTGACAAAAGCCCTCCGGCCCCTGGCGCCTGCGTTCACCAGCCCCACCATCCCTAGGTTGACAAAAACGCATTTGCAAGTTTGCGTTTTGAGTTTAAACGCAAAAGTTTTAACGCAATACTAAAAAACGCATCAAAACGCTCGAACGCACCGCGGAATTTTACCGGGCTGACCGAAGCGAAAAACGCACACAAAAAAACGCGCGATATCAGAAATCGAAATTGCATTTCGCCGCGCGTCGCGAATCGACAGCACATTTCTCGCGTTGCACATTCGCGAAAATTTTCACAGCGACACATAAACTTGTCAGTCTCTCCCTCCCTTTTCCCAACGTGTTTGAATTCCCAACCCATTCCTCCTTACTAGATCCAGATCTATATGTAGAGGAGAACTCGGCTCACCTTCCATGCACAGCCACGATCTACTCCTACCCTTACGTTTTAACTTCCAGCAGCTAACCTATCCGATTTCCAGCCTCTAACATGGCGTCCTCCTCGTCGCCAGTACATGCTCCTCAATCGGATGAGGGCGAGGGTTCCACCAGTGTCACCACGTTCGTCGAACAGCCCGACCATGCGATATTCAAGCACTTTAGGACGGGTGTGGCAGCGGACGGTAAGCTGACAGAGTCGCGAAAGTGTCACTACTGTCCCGCGACATTCGTTGGTGGCACGACGCGCGCCGCACAGCATTTGACGGAGTGGAACGGGATGAAGCATCGTGGCGTCCACCTCTGCCCCGCCGTTCCCAAGAAAGCTCGTGACGAGGTCAAGGCGCATCAGGAGCGAAACAATGAGTCGATGGACTGCAGGCGTCGTGCAGAGTCCTTGGCGCTGCAAGCTGTCGGCGGCGATGGGATGAGAGGCCGCATGACCGATTTTTTCGGTGATGAGCCCACGTGCAATCGGAAAGCTGCGGATGAGGCGATATGCCTCATGTTCGCGGCTCTTCGTCTGCCAGAGCACATCGCGGACAACCCCATCTTCACCAACGCCATCTCCTGCATTGGTCGTGCAGGCGCTTCCTATGTTGCCCCCAAGCGGCGGTACATAGGATAGGAGGTGCGGGGCTGCAGACGTGCCGCACGCGTGTGGAGACAGCGCTTGGCCCCATCGCCGCCAGCTGGGAGAGGGATGGCGTAACCCTAGCCAGCGACATGATGACTGATGTGAACGGGAGGCCGCAGGCAAACATACTTCTCATCAACGACAGTGGGGCAGTGTTTGTGGAGTCGATCGATACGAACATGGAGTGCAAAACGGGCGGGTACATCGCGAGCATCCTCCGCCCGATCGTGCAGCGCGTGGGCCCGGAAAACATCGTTGCGTTCTGCACCGACGGCGGCAGCAATTACGGCGCGGCGTGCAGGGAGTTGATGGCAGAATTTCCCCACATTGAGAAGGTCCCGTGCGCCACGCATGTTCTGGACCTCCTCATGGAGGACATTGGGAAGATGGCGTGGGCGCGGGCAATGGTGGAGAAGGCGGATTACATCATCGCCTTCTTCCGCAACCATCAGTTCACGCGGAACTTCATGCGCAATTGCAAGGTGGATGGGGGAAAGACGAAACAAGTTTTGCGGCCGGCCGGTACTCGCTTCGGGACCACCTACATAGCGGTGGGGCGCTTGAGTGAGGTGCGGCGGGCCTTGACGCAACTCCTCCTGAGCAACGAGTGGAAGGATTTTGCTGCTGTAGGGGCGAGGAGGGCAGCGGCAGAGGTGTTTAGCACGGCGGTCATGGATGGTGAGTGGTGGAATGTGGCTGAAGCTTTCACCCACCTCATGCAGCTGCCATTTATGGTGATGCGGGCCACGGATTCGTCGACGAAGGGAATGATGGGTAAGATTTACGACCTCATGTTGCAACTCACCGTGGACATGGATGACATGCTCGACAAGCGTGGGGAGGAGTTCCTGAACGAGGACGAGGCGGAAGAGATCCGGGGGTTGGTGAAGAAGAGGTGGGATCAAGACTTGGCTTGCCCCTTGCACGTGGTTGGCCGGATGCTCAATCCGGCCAACCAAACAGAGGGAATCTTCCGCAAGGATAAGGAGTGCACCACTGTTTTGAAAAAGTTCCTCTCCACCCACTTCGACCGGCGCATGGTCACCCTCCCGAATGGGAGGACGGTGAAGGAATCAGTGGTGCTTCAGGACGGCCTCACCGACTTCTTCACCATGCGCGGCAGCTTTGGCCTTGCCGAGGCAATCGCTGACCGTGAGTTGGTGAAGGCGGGAGAGATGGACATGGTGCGGTGGTGGACTTGGCATGGCACCGACCATCCTGCCCTCACCGCCCTCGCTTGCCGTGTCCTCACACAAGCCGTCTCTGCAGCCGCATGCGAGCGCAATTGGGCGGTGTGGGACTCAGTCCACACCGCCAAGCGCAACCGCTTGGGGTCGGAGAAGTGCCGGGATTTGGTGTACGTGGCCCACAACTGGCATGTGGTCCACAACTGGTACAAGAAGGAGGAGGGGCTTGGGGTTGTTGCTGGGAACATCCCCGAGCCCCCCATGCCAGAGGGATACAATGTGCTCGAGGAGGAGGCGGAGGAGGGGGAGGATGATGTGCTTGAGGATGAGTATGAGTAGGATAGATGTACAAGGTCGGATGGAGGAGGCATAGATGATGGACAGAAGATAGGTAGTCAGGAGATGTGGCGGCGGAGGAGGGGGAAGATAATGTGATGGATGATGAGAATGAGTAGGGGAGATGTAGAAGGTCGGATGGAAGAGGCATAGATGATGGAGAGGAGATAGGTAGTCGAGAGATGTGGCTGTGGATGTGTGTCCTTAGCGTGATGTTAATGTGAAAAGAAAATTTCTGCTGTCCCCTCCTCACCCCTCTCCTCCCCCTCCCCCCCACCCCCCCTATATCCCCTGCCCGGGCAAAAATTTCCGCCTGCCCGGGCAGGCGTTTTCCAAGCGTATTTGAAGCCTAAAATCCTACGTTTTGCGTCCTGAACGCAAACGTTCCAAACAAAACGCAAAAACGCGGAAACGCGTTTATGCCAACATAGCACCATCCTTCATACCTGCCTGACAGAGTGTGAAGCGACGCTTCCGCCGCGTGCCCTTGAGCTACTGCGGTCGGAACGCGCCGAGGCGTCCGATGTACCCTTGCAGCACCGCCTATCTCTGGAGGTCCAGGCGGCCCGCTATGCCGACCATGTGGAGGCCAGCCGCAGCATGGCGCCAAACCCCAACAGCGGCCATACGCAGCGCCTCTTCTCCCTCACGAGGTATGGCGTGGGGGACTGGCTCCTGGCCATCCCCCTGTTCCCCTCCCTCCGGCTTGCGCCCCCGCACGTCGCGATCGCCCTAGCCTTTCGCCTGGGCCTCCCCTTCCCGGCCCCGGGGGTCTGCAACTGGGCCAAGCGGGTGGAAATCCCCGACCCCCGGCTCCCGAATCACCTGTTCTGCTGTGGGACGGGGCACGGGCGCACTGACACGCACAATGCACTTCGGGACGAGTGCATCCGCATGGCGCGGGATGCACAGTTCATCATCGTGAAAGAAACTGCCATCTACACCCCAATTGGCGACCAAACCACTGAATTGGCAATCCGAGACCGAGACTCGGGTGCTGTATGGATCTGTGACGCCACCGTCACCGACCCAATCAGCAGCCGCGGCCCCCTGGCACGGAAAGGGAGGGGGTACATGGCGCGCGAGCAAGCGGACAAAAAGATTGACCACTATCACAACCGCGCGCCATACGTCGGCCTCTTCCCCCTCGCCGTGGAGACCTATGGGTGCCCCTGTTCCGAGGTGCCCGCATTCCTGCAGCTCCTGGCCAACACCGTCGCCCGCCGCCTCTTCAATGTGGACCCAAGCTCGTACCAAGCAGCCAAACTGCTCAATCAGTTTCAGCAGCGGTGGTCAGTCACCCTCCAGTGCAGGCAGGCCCTCTCGTACCTCGGCAAGGTGAACGAAGCCTCCCCGCTCGAGGGGCCCACCCTTGGGGCGCCGGACGAAGGCATGACCCTCGGGGACTGCTTCATCGTCTTGGAGCCCATAGGGGAGCTAGCGTAGGCTAGCGGGGGGGGAGGGGAGGGGTTTAGGATGCATGCTTGTACCTGGCCCACTTGCCTAGCTCTGTACACAGGCTCCTAATGAATACAAAGGACTGCTTGCGAGAACTCAATCCAAGTACATTTCTATGAGAACCTGCCCCACACACGTCAACCAGCCCAGCGATGAGTTGAGAGAGCACGCAGGAGCGCGTGCAAAAGAAGTGCACGTTACGGTGCCTGATGCACCTTTGATCACAGATTCACCCTACGCACCTCAACAATGGAACTGAGCAGCCCCGCGATGAGCTGTGCGAGCACACATGAGCGTGCAGAAGGAGCGCGCTGCGGTGCTTGAAGTGCACATGTTGCTCCAGCATGAAGCCCGGCAGCACAGCGGACTGACTGACGCCTCGCCCTACCCGTTGCCAAGCTATTTCCAGCTTCGCGTCACAAACCAACCACGCAGTGATCCAAAAGCATTATCAGCACCCTACGCACCTCGACTATAGAGAGTGGTAAGCTGGCGATGAGCTGTGCGAGCACATATGAGCGTGTGCGGAAGAAGCGTGCGCTGCGGTGCTTGAAGTAGACCTGGCGCTCCAGCATGTAGCCCGGCAGCAGGCTGACGTTGTTGACGGTCATGGTGATCAGCGAGATCTGCATCACGCCGCGCCGCAGATTCAGATGCGCAAAGGACGGGGGGTCTGCTGGGAGCTGGAAGAAGTCGAAACCCACGAATAGGCCCAAGAGGGTGACCTGGGGAGAGGGGGAGGGTGGCAGAGAGGATGTTTTTAAGATCGTGAGTGGACGTTGGACGTTGGTCAGCACTGCCACCGCACAAGAAGCAGCCGCACATGAAGAACAACTTCTCGAGCAGTTTACGGGCATCCCTACTGCATCACCCCTTTCGCTCACCAGCAGCAGGCTCACAGCAACGAAGCTCCGATTCCTCAGGCTCGCTTTGAGATGAGGTTTCGTTTGTGCTATGTACGATTCTCCCAGAGTACTCTCGCCAACAGACCTTCCACTCACCAGCAGCAGCCGCGCAGCAATGAAGCTCCGGTTCCTCAGGTTCACTCTCAGCTGCCGCTGCAGCAGCAGCTTGAACTCGGGCCACGGCTCCAGAATGAGCTCCTTGCTCAGCAGCTCCCTATTCGCGCCCCCCCACAGCCCCGCCATGGCTGCTGCCCTCGACGCCGCAGCCGCAGCTGACAGGTTCATGGCTTTAAGTGCCTCCACGCCCATTCCTGGGAGCTGCAGGAACGCCTTGCTGCTGAAGCTGCTGCGGCCTCGCAGTGCTGCGAAGCTGAGGGTCTTGAAGGCGGAGGAGATGCCGCGGGGGATGGCCCGCGGCAGCGACTGGATTCTCAGCGCTGGCCTGCTGCTCTTGCTGCTGCTCGCTGCTGCTCCACGCTCCCCCCCAACATCATCCCCCCCAGGCCCTGAACCTCCACCATTAGGCCCTGACCCCGAGAGACTGGAACAAGCGAGGAGCCCGGCAGTGCAGTCAACTAGAGGAGCGCGGCTTTCATCAGCATTGTCATGGCCGGCTACGGCAGGGCTGCCCATGCCATTACCCTGGGTGCTAGAGCCCAGGCCTGCAGCAGTGGTGGGCGTGGGGCGAGCAGCAGTGGGTGCTTGGGGGAGGCCTGCCTCGAGGTCCAAGTCCAGGTCATCGGCTGGCTGCGCGCGAGGCAGCAGCTGCTCGCTGTCCTGCTTCGTAGCGTCTGTGCTGGCAGCGGCTTCAGTGGCGGTGCCCTGGGTGGTGGTGTCTTTTGAAGTTGGTTCCTGTGTGGTGTCACTCTGAAAGTGGAGAAGACGGGGATATGGAGTGGTTTCTAAGTCGGAGAAAAACGTGGAGGGGGAGAGGGGTAAGAATGTGGCAAGCAGGGAAGAGCAGAGGGAACGGGTCCGGCTGGCGACAGAACCAAGCGAAGTGTACATGGAACAGGAGGTAACGCTACCCTCAACCCTCAATCCTTCATATAATCCACATAACAGCCCCCCCCGGATGTGTGACTATAAGGAGCGGTCGCTGCAGCTTCAGGTACAGCCACGTGGAGCTGCCCCTTGACTCCTCCAGCATGTCCATGAGCCCCCCCATTCCCCCCCACCCCCCACCCCCCCCTCAACCTCCGCCTATGGAAAGACCACCTCGCAGTGCTCACCGCCTGTGTGACTATAGTGAGCGGGCGCTGCAGCTCGAGGTGCAGCCAGGCGCTGCTGTCCCTGAGCTCCTCCAGCATGCCCATGAGCTCGTCCCCCGGCACTTCCCCCCCCGCATAGCTCGCATACTCCATTTCACCCCTCTCCCCCACCGTCACAGCCACCACCACATCCCCCACACACACTGGCCCTGTTGCCTCCACCCCTTCTTTCAGATGCCCTCCCCCCCCCGCCCCTTCAAAGAAGACCCGCGCCTCTGTGACCACCACTGCTTGGTAGGGGTGTGGCGTTGCTTCTCCTTTGCTCTCCGCTGCTGTGTTCTTCTGTTCCTCCCCATTTGACTCCCCGCCATCCAGGGTTGACAGAGCGTCGGGTGCCACGTCAGCGAGGGCACAGCGGACGCGGGAAAGGACGTGGCGCGCCGGCCCAGAGATCCAGAGGAGGAGGAGAGGCGCGGGAGAGCTTGTCACACGAAGAATGTTCTTGTAATAAGGAGACTTCTTATATGCCCGCACTGTTGGCAGGGGAAGAGGGATAAGCACTTGTGGAATGAATGATGGTATGGGGGGCGAAACATGGTAAGTTCGAATTGCACCAAGTGGGGGGAAGGGGCCGGAGGGGGGAGGGAGGGGGAAGTTTATGGAGAGAATAATGCATGAGGTAGCGGATTCAGGTAAAAGCAAACGACAGGAAGTGTTAAATCCCCAACACTAGCTTCAGAGTAATCATCCATAGGATCCTCAGCCCAGCTAAATGGTTGGCACGACCGTCGACTAGACCATTGATGACAGCGGCAGCATCAGCGCTACACTACCCAGTCTCCCTTCCAGCACTCACTCACGAAACCCTTCCTCCACGTACCAAATCCGGCCAGCAGCAGCTTCTTGCCCGCTCTGAGCCACCCCCATCCGCCATGGTGACAAAACAGAGCACACTCTCTGACCACCTTTCACCCTCCCACTCACCCATCCCTCCCACTCACCCATCCCTCCCACTCACCCATCCCTCCCACTCACCCATCCCTCCCACTCACCCATCCCTCCCACTCACCCATCCCTCCCACTCACCCATCTTTCCCACTCACCCATCCCTCCCACTCACCCATCCCTCCCACTCACCCATCCCTCCCACTCCCCCAACCCCCCCACTCCCCCATCCCCCTCATCGCACCGAATCCGTCCAGCAGCAGCTTCTTCTTGCCCGATCGGAGGGCCCCCCCCCCCTCCGTGGTGACATGCTGCAGGTACTCCGGCACCGACATGTGCAGCGGCTTCAGGTACCTGGGTAGGGTAGAAGGGGCAAGGGGAAGCGGGGGGGAGGAGCGGAGATGAGGGGCAGAGGGATTAAAGAGGGGATCAGCTCAAGGTGCTCCCTCCATCGTGGTGGTCACATGCTGCACGCACTCCGGTGCTGACATGTGCACGGCTTCAGGCACCTGAGGGCGGGAGGGGGAGATGAGGGATCGAGGGGATTGAGGGGAGGGAAGCTCAAGGCCGTCTGTGGTGACATACTGCAGGAAATCTGGCCACAACAGAAGAATGGTCTTCTCAATTGGGCCCCCCGAACGCAGTACCAAAGCACGGAAGCCGCCCTGCTTTTCACCATTCATTCATACAGCACCCTGCTGGTGGAGCCTTTGAGTCGACTCAAAGCACCACCTGCTGGTGGACGTGCCTAAGAGCCGCATGGCAGGGCGGGGCCCTTGAAAGACAATGCGCCCCTCATTGAGCACAGGAACACAGGGCAAACCAGCACAGCACACACAAGAGTCTTGAAGCACAGGACTCACCCCAGCGCCTGGAAGTGCCTGAGAGCCGCATGGCACGGCCCCTGGAAGACGATTTGGCCCTGGTTGAGCACGATGACCCGGTCGAAGAGGGAGAAGACGGCCTGAGTGGGCCACTGCAGTGAGCACAGCACCGCGTGCTGCCGCACCTGGTGCATTCGTTGAGGAAAGGGAGGAGAGGGGAGGGTCGGAAAGGGTTGAGGCGCTTCATAGCTGGCAGAGCACGATGGTAAGGCCAGAAAGGGAGATGAAGGCCAGGCCTGTGCGGGCCACTGCTGCCGCGAGCGCAGCGCCGCATGCTGCCGGGAGTGTTGTGTGTTGAGTGCTGACGCTCCTGGAGTGCACGCGAGTGGGTGTGTTGAGGGGGACGGCGAGAGGGGTGGCAGGAAAGAGGGGTCAGTTCAAAAGAAAGAGGGGTGGGTTGGATGAAAGAGGGGTGGGTTGGATGAAAGAGGGGCTGATTGGATGAAAGAGGGGCTGATGAAGGCGTGACTCTTGGCCAATAGAGGACGTTTTTCCACTTGATACTTGAATGTACATGAAACGAAAGAACCGTCCATGCCAACGAATATGGCAGAACAGGGAACAGCGTGGATGTGCTATCCGGCAGGGGCATGTGCTGGGAGGGCCCAAAGCCAAGCGCAGTCACACACACTCACAAACACACACACACGCACAAACACACACACGCCCCACACCCCCTCACCTGGGCGTGGGTGCGCAGCATGGTGAGAGTCTTGTGGGTGGAGGGCCCGTCGTACACCTGGCTGATGCGGTCAAACAGCAGCACCTAGGGGAGGGGGAAGAGGGGGGCGCATGGATGAGAGTTGGGCTATCGCATTCAAACGTTGTACACCTGACTGATGCGGTCAGACAGCACAGCAGCACCGGCTGGGGGGGGGGGGGAGGGAATGGGGGAAGCTGGTACAGGGGGCTTGTGGGACGTGCGCACATGGCTGGTATAGGGGGCTCGTGGGACGTGCGCACATGGCTGGTAGGGCACGTGGGACGTTCGCACATGGCTGGTACAGGGGGCACGTGGGACGTGCGCACATGGCTGGTGGAGGCCCAGTAGTAAGCCGAAGCCCCAGTACACAAAACCCAGCTTGGCACTACTCCTTTGCAGGGAATGGCATGACACTACTAAGTCGGCTAAGTGGGGTCCTCCTCTAAGTGGGGTCCTCCTCTAAGTGGGGTCCTCCTCTAAGTGGGGTCCTCCTCTAAGTGGGTTCCTCCTCTAAGTGGGGTCCTCCTCTAAGTGGGGTCCTCCTCTAAGTGGGTTCCTCCTCTAAGTGGGTTCCTCCTCTAAGTGGGGTCCTCCTCTAAGTGGGGTCCTCCTCTAACTGGGGTCCTCCTCTAAGTGGGTTCCTCCTCTAAGTGGGGTCCTCTGTTACAGATAGGCTGCAATTCAGTTGGCACAACTTTGTGTGTTGACAATTTGTTGGTTTTAGGGATATGCATATTTGCTAGGTTGGGTGTAGCTATGTTTTCATCCCCAACCTATCCCAACCCAATCCATCCCAAATCCCCACGATTTGGGAGGATTCCCTTGGGATTCCCTCCGATTCTCCCTTATCCCTTCCCATCCTCTCCGATGCTCGGTACTTAAGGATGTATGCTCTTGCTCATTTCTTCAATCAAGTTGTCAGTTTCTAACATGGTATCAGAGCTCGTTTCCGCCTAAGCAACTCCTGATCCTCTCGCTCTGTTGGAGCTTTGCATTTGCGTCTTACGACGCAAAAGTTTTTCTAGCCGCCTAAAATCTGCGCGGCGCTTCTCTTCGAGCTGCCGCCCGTCGCCCCGCATCTGCGCGGCGCTTCTCTTCGGGCCGCCGCCCGTCGCCCCTCATCAGCTCGCTGCACGTGATCGGGCTGAGCCCGTCACCCCACATCTGCTCGTCGCACGTGATCAAGCTGAGCCCGTCGCCCCGCATCTGCTCGTCGCACCTGATCGGGCCGAGCCCGTCGCCCCGCATCTGCTTGCCGCACCTGATCGGGCTGAGCCCGTCGCCCCGCATCTGCTCGTCGAAGCTGAACGGGCTGCTGCCCGTCGCCCTTGCAACAGCGGAGGGTGCAGCGACGAAGCGGACAAGGGGACAGCGGCGAAGCGGAAAGGGGGCAGCAGCGCAGCGGAACAAGGGGGGGGGGAGGGGGTCGCGGAGGAGTGGAATTGCAGCGGCATATCTACATTCCATGTAGATTTTCCGACGATCAGATCTGCTTCTTAATCCGCCATTCTCGCTCTCCGAGTGTTGAAAATCGACAAAGGAAAATCCAGTTTTCCGAAGTGCCTATCAGCGACTTAAGAGCTGCGCTCCGCGCTGTGAAAGGGTCCTTGCAGCATGATGGCATGGAAGACTCAGGGCACAGCCATGGATACCCCCAGTCCTAATGTTCATCTGAACCTATTGTTCCCGGACCTTCCTATGATCAATGGTACCAGTTCCAAGTACTCGACGCCTGCACATACACCATGTAAACCACTTGAATTCGTCCTGGACAATGGTGCAACCCACACAGTAGACTTGAGCATTTTACCCCGTCGGGTCGCGGGTACCCGACCCGACCTGACATTTTGGCCGGGTCGGGTAATACAATTCTGACGAATTACCCGGCCGGGTCGGGTCGGGTAATCGCGCCGGGTAATGCGTACCCGTTACCCGGAAATTACCCGAAATGTCGGGTAATTTATTACCCGTCGGGTAGTGGATGCCCTACCCGACATCGGGTTTATTACCCGACATCGGGTTGTGGGTACCCGACCCGGTTTCGGGTCGCGCAATTACCCGAAGCCAACCAGCGCGTTTATTTTTGCGCTGGTTGGGAAATTTCGACCATGAGGTCGAAATTTTCCGCGACTGTTTTTCTTCTCAGTTGCGTTCAACCTAAGCCTACCCTACCATGCACCAAGGAGCATTCCACACCGGTCGTACTACAAACCGCTCCTTGTTTTATCAAATCCTAGGGTAATGGAGAATGCAAGGGCTACTCGGCGTTCTTTTCTGCCTAGCCGTCCGTTTTAGGGTTCCGTTTTTTTAAGTTACACGTGCGTTTAGGGATTGACGGACAGGAGGGTCATGGTGCTACTATACGACAGTTGGGACGGGGTGTCTATGGCTGACCAGATCTGATCGCCGAAGGCGGAGGCGCCACGGCTGAGGAGGGGGGAGCGCAGGCCAGCAATCCCATACAAGGCGCATCCCTTGGAGCTCTCCCCGTACCCGCACAGGACCAGAGCTTAGCTCTGGGGAGTGGGGTTCGTGGGGCCGGAGAGGAGGCGAACATGCAAGCGGTGGAGCCCGGTGAGGGGGGCGCTCTGCCACGTGGGGGAGGATGGCAGCAGGTTGGGCAGCGTCCCAGTGGTGGTGGTGACCAGGATTGGCAGCCGGGCGCCGACGACGTGGTGGATCTCTCAGGAGAGGATTTATCCCCTGCCACGCAGGCGGAGGTTCGCCCGAGAGGCGCAAACCAGGGGGGCCGACCCCGAGGGCGTCCTAGGGGCCGGGGAACGGCCGTTCAGGGGGGGGGTGCGGGAGCAGGGCGGCGTGCTGCGCGCGGCCGTCCCAGAGGGGCAGCAAGGGGTCTTGGGGCAAACAGGAGCAAATGAACTGTTTAATTCCCCTAAACCAGAAGAGCGCAGTCACAGGTGTCTGAGATGCATTCTCATCAGGTTCTAGCTTAGAGTAGCATTTTCCGCTGAATTTTACAGCCACCTAGGGATAGTCGGGTAATATTACCCGACTTTAATTGAAATCACGTCGGGTATACCCGACCCGCCACACGGGTAACCAATTACCCGGTATTAAAATGCCGGGTCGGGTAACGTACCTCCAAACATTACCCGGAAATTACCCGACCCGACCCGACCCGGACCCGATTGCGGGTAGGGCAAAACCGGGTCGGGTCGGGTAATTACCCGGTTTTGCTCATTTTTACCACACAGTCCTCCGGGACAAACAGTCCTTCAAACCATTCCAAGCACCTATTCCTCTCCTAGGCGCTGACTCCAGCTTCACCACTATTGTTGCCCATGGTTCATCCACTCTTCCATGCCCAGCCTTACCATTAGGCTCAGTCACTGGTATCTGCGTGCCTACTCTTCGGCACAATCTACTCGCCGAGCATGAGATTCAACGAGCAGGGGTAACCACCATCTTCCCAGCTCACTCGAATCACTGTGATCTCCTTGATCCAACCATCAACACACTCCTTGCATGCTTCACACTGACGGCCAACAATCTTTACACGCTCCAAGTATCTCCATCTTCCACTGAGGCACACTCTACCTCCATCACATCATCGTGCTCCTGCCGTCAGCTCACCGACCCAACCATTCTCTACCACCATCGTCTGGGGCATCCCAACTTTCGCATGCTTTCCGAGCTTGCATCCAAGAAGTTGCTTCTTCACTTGCCCGAGACACTTCCTCCACCCTCCACTTCTCCTGCTCCTCCATGCTTGGACTGCGCACAAAGCAAACTGCGCCAGCTGCCTCACCCTTCTTCACCCTCCGCTGCAGCCGCCCCGCTTGACCTCGTCCACATGGACGCCTGGGGCCCGGCTCCAATTCGCTCTCGCGACGGACACTCCTACTTCCTAGTGCTCGTTGACGATCACTCCCGCTATGCGTCCGTTCACCTACTCTCCTCCAAAGCAGCTGCTTCATATCTCGTCATCGCATGGGTTCGACAAGCCCAAAACCATTTCCGCACATCAGTCAAGTGCCTCCATTCCGATGGCGGTGGGGAATTTCGAAGTCATTCCCTTCAAACGTTCTGCGCCTCCCAAGGCATTCGCCAATCCTTCACCCTTCCTCATAGTCCGCAACAGAACGGCATTGCCGAGAGTCGCAATCACACCCTCGTGCAAATCGCGCGCTGTCTTCTCACTCACGCTGGTGCTCCACCTTCTCTTTGGAGCTACGCACTTCTCCATGCCGCGCTGCTTTACAACCTTCACCCTCACCCTCTTCGGACTGGCATCACTCCCGCCGAACTGTGGATCGGTACCAAGCCAAGTGCCCGTCCTCTCCGCGTATGGGGGTGTACCGCCTACGTCCTTCTCAACCCTCAAGAGCGTCGCACCCATGGCGGCAAATTTGCACCAAAAGCTCACCCATGTGTCTACCCCAGCCACAATCTGGACTCCCCCGACTACCTCTTTCTCAATCCCTCCACCAATCAGCTCATTCGCACCCGCGACGTCGCATTTGACGAGAGTCGCCCGTTTTACCTCTCCTCACCACCCGCCACCGCTCCACCTTCGCTTGTGTGGGCCGATTTCAACACTTCACCCTCTCCAACTCCTCCCTCTGTCGCTGCCCTCGCAGCCCCCTCACTCTCACCTCTTCCATCTCCTTCCACTCACTCTCACCCCCCTTCCCCCACCGGCTTCGTTGCCCCTACACCTCCCGTGCACCCGCTTCTCCTCCACCTCCCTCTCCTTCTGCACCCCCTCCTGCGCCTACACCTCCATCTCCGCTTCTGCCTCCTACCTCCCCCTCTTCTCTGGAATCCCTTGTCACCTATCGCCCCCGCCGCCAGGGGCACTCTTATGTTTACGTTCCACCTCCTCCCCCGCCACCTCCCTCCTCTCCTGTCCCTGTTGCTCACCGCACCCGCTCTCATGGTCCCGCTCCGCCTCTCGCCCTCTCTGTTCGCATCTCCCTCAATCCGCCTCCTCCTGCCACGGGTGCATCCATGCCCAACCTCTTGGAGGATAGGCATGAGGAGCTGATTGAGATCAATGCTGCCATCCGTCAGCTCTGCTATCGCTTCCCCGATCTTGCCGACGCTCCAACTCTCAACTTCTCAGAAAATCCATCCATCCCGACCCCGAACTCGTATGATGAAGCCATCTCCGGGCCACACTCTCCTCAGTGACTCGCAGCCATGATCGCAGAGTGTGAAGCATTCGTTTATAACAATTCTTTCACGGACGTCTCTCCTCCGCGAGGACTTAACATTGTCTGTGGCAAATGGGTTTTTCGCGTCAAGTAGCTGCTTGGCGAACTCCCAGTCTTCAAGGCACGATACTGTGCAAAAGGCTTTACGCAGAAGAAGGGCCTGGACTTCTTCGACACGTTCTCTCCGACGACCAAACTGCCCACGCTACGGACCATGCTAGACATCGCCGCTCGATGCAACTTTGACGTTCACTCCATGGACGTCTCTGCCGCATTTCTCCAAGGGGATCTCCCCGAGGACATCTACGTGGAACGTCCTCAAGGGTTTCCCTTGCCCTTTCCACCCGGCACCGTCTGGAAGCTGAATCGACCAGTCTACGGATTGAAGCAGGCTCTTCGAGAATGGCACAAGAAGCTGAAGGCAACCCTCAAGTCATTCGACTTCCACCCTTCGTCAACCGATCCGAGTCTCTTCATTCGCAAGAACGAGAACCCGTTCTTCATTCTCGTCTACGTTGACGATATGATTCTCGTCTCCAAAGACTCCGATCAGCTGGCAGCTGTTAAGCAAGCTCTTGGGGACGCTCTCGCCATGAAGGACCTCGACGAACTCAAGAACTACCTTGGGATGGAAATCTCGCGGGATCGCGAAGCTCGAACCATCACTCTCTCTCAAGAGTTCTATGTGAACAACGTCCTCAGGCGTTTTGCCATGGACAACGCCAAGCCAGTGGCCACTCCCCTTCCCTTGCAGCATGATCTGACCGCTCCATCAGTTCCATCGCCTGAGCCTTGTGATGAGGCATACCCCGAGCTTGTCGGATCATTCACCCTTGGCAGTGGTGTCATCAGCTGGCGATCTACACGCTCATCATCCGTCTCATTGTCATCCTACAAAGCTGAGCTATACGCAGGCACCATGGCAGCCCAAGAAGCTCGATGGCTTACCTACCTCATGGCTGAGCTCAGGTATCCTCAGCAGACCCCGACTCTGTGGTGTGACAACGAGAGCACCATCTACCTCACCAAAGACCCTGTCTTCCACCAACGAACCAAGCATATCGAACTGAGACACTTCTTCATGCGCGAGCTCGTCCAGCGAGGGCAGTTGTGTGTCAAGCATATTTCCTCTGACTGCAACCTTGCCGACTTGTTTACAAAGGATCTTGGGTGACGTGATCACTATCGTCTCCTCCGTACCATGGGACTTGGCGTACCTACGGCTTCCGACGTTGCAGCCTAGGGGGTGTGTAACAGATAGGCTGCAATTCGGTTGGCACAACTTTGTGTGTTGACAATTTGTTGGTTTTAGGGATACGCATATTTGCTAGGTTGGGTGTAGCTATGTTTTCATCCCCAACCTATCCCAACCCAATCCATCCCAAATCCCCACGATTTGGGAGGATTCTCTTGGGATTCCCTCCGATTCTCCCTTATCCCTTCCCATCCTCTCCGATGCTCGGTACTTAAGGATGTATGCTCTTGCTCATTTCTTCAATCAAGTTCTCAGTTTCTAACATCCTTCTTTAAGTGGGGTCCTCCTCTAAATGGGATCCTCCTCTAAGTGGGGTCCTCCTCTAAGTGGGGTCCTCCTCTAAGTGGGGTCCTCCTCTTAGTGGGTTCTTCCTCTCAGTGGGGTCCTCCTCTAAGTGGGTTCCTCCTCTAAGTGGGGTCCTCCTCTAAGTGGGGTCCTCCTCTAAGTGGGGTCCTCCTCTAAGTGGGGTCCTCCTCAAAGTGGGGTCCTCCTCCAAGTGGGTTCCTCCTCTAAGTGGGGTCCTCCTCTAAGTGGGGTCCTCCTCTAAGTGGGTTCCTCCTCTAAGTGGGGTCCTCCTCTAAGTGGGGTCCTCCTCTAAGTGGGGTCCTCTAAGTGGGGTCCTCCTTTAAGTGGGGTCCTCCTCTTAGTGCGTTCCTCCTCTAAGTGGGGTCCTCCTCTAAGTGGGGTCCTCCTCTAAGTGGGTTCCTCCTCTAAGTGGGGTCCTCCTCTAAGTGGGGTCCTCCACTAAGTGGGGTCCTCCTCTAAGTGGATTCCTCCTCTAAGTGGATTCCTCCTCTAAGTGGGGTCGTCCTCTAAATGGGTTCCTCCTCTAAGTGGGGTCCTCCTCTAAGTGGGGTCCTCCTCTAAGTGGGGTCCTCCTCCTCTAAGTGGGGTCCTCCTCTAAGTGGGGTCCTCCTCTAAGTGGGGTCCTCATCTGAGCAAGCTCCTCCCTTCTAGTCTCACCGGGTAAGCCCCGACCATGAGTTCAGCCGCAGTCAGCCGGTGCACCTCGTCCCTGGAGAGCCTGCCCGACCCCACCTTCACTTGGGCCCGCCTGGTGAGCCCAAACATGGCTTCCCTGGACGCCACAAGTGGGTCGTCGCCACGCTCAATGCTGGCCCTCAGCGCCTTGCCCAGCATGGGGTGCTGCAGCAGCTGCTGCACTGACAGCGGGAAAGAGCACTGCCGCGCAAAGGAGAGCGTCTCGTGCACCGACAGCGCCGGCAGGTGGCAGTCCGCCTCGAAGCCCACCCCAGCTAGGCGGTGCGCGCGCGAGGGGGTTACAGGGAGGGCGTTGAAGGTGACGGAGCCGGCAGTGGGGGGCTGCCGGCCGGATAGGAGGCGAATGAGGGTTGTCTTGCCGCTGCCTGGTGTGGTGAAGGAAGGGAGGGGCATGGATGAGAGAGGGCGTGATGAGAGAGGGCGTGATGGGGAGGGCGTGATGGGGAGGGAGTTGACGGAGACGGAGCCAGTGGTGGGGGGCTGCCGGCCAGCTAGCAGACGGATGAGGGTTGACTTGCCGCTACCTGGGGGATAAGAGTGGGAAACCGGGCAGGATGGAGAGGGCGTGGGTGGAAGGTGATGCAGGCAGCAATGACCGGCCGGCTACACGAGGTATGAGGGTTGACTTGCCACTGCTTGTGGGATACGAGTGGGTGTGACTGAGAGGGGTGAGGGAGTGAGAGAGTGGGTGTGGAAGAGAGAGGGGATGATGATGAAACGGATGATGAGGGGTTGCCAGCCAGCTGTGACACGGATGAAGGCTCAGTTTGCTGCTGTATGTGCCACAAAAAGCCGACAAGGCAGAGGCGGACGGGGATGAATACGCAGGTGTGCATGGGGGGCGCCGAAAGAAACTGCTTGTGGAATTCTGCTGCTGTGCATGAGGGGGGGCTCTGGGAAGGGAACCGGGTGATAGAGGGGGGGAAGGAGGATCTTGGGGGAGGGGACGTGGGATTGGCAGGAAAGAAGTGGTGGGGACGTGGAACATTCACCAGCTGGGGGCAGCCTCAAGAAAGGCTCATCTGCAGGTCACCTGAGAATACCTGAAGGCTGAAGCTCACCTGAGGATTCCTGGGGTTCCCCTGAGGCTTACCTGAGGCTCGCCAGAGACAACCTGAGGCTTACCTGAGGCTCGCGTGAGACAACCTGATTCTTACTTGAGGCTCGTCTGAGACTAGCTTCACCCAACACGGGCTGGGTGGTTCATCTGTGGTTCCAAAACGGGCTCAACTGACGCTCACCCGAGTCAACCTCAACTGGGTGCCCCGTGCTGGTGGCCCCAAGCCGGGCTTACCTGAGGTTCCAAGGAGAAGTGTGAGGGTCCCTGGCATGAGGAAGCTGCAGGGAAGGTGAGAAAACGTGTGATGGAGGAGAGATAGAGTTTGGCATTGCAAGAGGACAGAAAACAGAGATGAGATGCGTGGCACTCATGATTCATCTCACGTGATGCAATGGGCAGCAAACACGGCTGGGGACGGCTGGTCGCATCAGGTGAGGCCCAGGGTGTGTGGCACGCCGCACACATGGATGCGAGATGCAGCGTGAATGAAGCACAGCACACATAACACGCCACACACCCCTGCGGCGCTAGACGCACCCCGAGACATCGTTGAGCACTTGAACGGTCTCCTTCTTCTGCCACCCCGTGATGGACTTGAGCTTGAAGTACGGCTGCTCCCACCCGCACAGAGGGGCAAACCGTGCAGCGCACAGAGAGGAAAACAGAGGGACAGACAGAGGGGCAGAGAGAGGCGGGAATTAGCAGTCAGCAGGGGCGTGAACGAGGGGATGACAAGAGCAACGTGGGTACCTTGTGCTGATAGACTATCGCCCTCCTCCCCCTCGCACGCACTGGCTCCACACAGCCTGCTCTGTTATGCACTCATAGCGTGGCGCATCCTTGTGCACCCAGCGACCTCCCTTCAACCCAAATCATGCCACCCCTCTCAATCCGTCCCATCCTCATCGCGTCCCACCTCACTGCATCCCACTCTCTCTCTCCCGCGTCCTACTCTCTCTCCCGCGTCCTACTCTCTCTCCCCGCGTTCCACTCTCTCTCCCCGAGCCTGTTCTCTTCTCACCACATCCCATTCTCACCACATCCCATTCTCACCACATCCCATTCTCACCACATCCCATTCTCACCACATCCCATTCTCACCACATCCCATTCTCACCACATCCCATTCTCACCACATCCCATTCTCACCACATCCCATTCTCACCACATCCCATTCTCACCACATCCCATTCTCACCACATCCCATTCTCACCACATCCCATTCTCACCACATCCCATTCTCACCACATCCCATTCTCACCACATCCCATTCTCACCACATCCCATTCTCACCACATCCCATTCTCACCACATCCCATTCTCACCACATCCCATTCTCACCACATCCCATTCTCACCACATCCCATTCTCACCACATCCCATTCTCACCACATCCCATTCTCACCACATCCCATTCTCACCACATCCCATTCTCACCGCGTTGAGGCAGTTCTTGATCTGATCCGGAATGACCTCCACCTTCCTCGTCACTGCCACGTGGCTGAATGCCACCACCTAATTGGTTGGGTTGGACACGTGGATTCATGGATGGTTGAGGGCGACCATGCATGTCTTCACACACACACTCACTTGCACACTCACTTGCACACGCGCGTACACACATACGCATGCACGCACGCAGACACACACACATGCACACTGCATGCATGGACGCGCACGCGCGCGCACACACACACCCACACACAACCCCCCCCCCTACACACACACACACACACACTCTAATGAGCCTCGAGAAAACGTCCTGACCTGTGCGGCTGTGCCCGCTCAGGCGCCCATTGCTCCGCTCACCTGCGGCTGCGCGCACAGCAGGTGCGGCTGCATGGCGATGAGGTACCTCTGCAGCCCCTCCCGCACCACCACCTCGCTCCTCATCGCGTCCTCGTGGGACTCCACCCCCACCCCGCCTCCCGCTTCCCCTCGCCCCATCATCCCTCCACCCACCCCCGCAAACCATCCTCCACTCCCGCTCCCGCCCCCCTCCCCCTCCACCTCTCCATCCTCCCCGTCCTCCTCCCCGCCTCGCGCCATGCTCTTGATGCTGACGAGCCTGGCAGCGGCGGACGCGGCGATCTGCCGTGCCTCGCCGTCCAGCCCGTGCGCCTGGAGGGCCTCGTGGTACCTTCGAATGAGGTTGATCAGCGGCGCCTCCCCGATGCCCAGCAGCTCGTTGTAGAACGCGGAGGAGGCGGCGGGCTCGTTGTCGTCTTCGGAATCACCGCTGGCGCCAGGAGGACCAAAGCTCGCCCTCATGCGTCCACCGCCGAGCGCTACATTGTTACTGGTACTGCTTCCGCCACTGTAGTCGTTGTGCTGTGCCACGTCCTCGTTTTTGTCCTCCTCGTTATCGTCGTCGACACCGACGTGCCACGTGCCAGCAGCGAAGCTCACTCTCCCGAGCTTCGCCCTCCCCATTCGCCGACCGTTGCTCGCTTGATCCTCCCCTTCACTGCCTCTCCCAGGCGCTGTCCCCCCCCCGCTTTCCCCCTTGAGCGCCTCTTGCCCGTTAGTTTCCCCCCGGGCCGTTCCTCTGTTCCCCCCATCTGCTCCGCTTCCCCCGCTAGCTTCCCGGGCGTGCGCTGGCGCCTCCCCCTCCGCTTCTTCCCCCTCCTCCTCGGCGCATTCTTTGATCGAACCGACCTGGTACAACTTTGGCGCAGCGGCAGTGTCGGACGTGCTACTAGCGAAACCCGGGATCGCACTAACGAAGCTCGAGCCTCCCCCTGACGGCGTGCTCCCCCTGCTGCTAGCAGTAGAGCTGTGCAGCGAGGAGGCAAAGGATTGCGAGCTCGTGAAGGATTGCTGCTGATGTGGCGACTGCTGGCGCATGGACTGCTGACGCATCGACAGTCGACGCCGGAGCGTGGCATACTCATTGGTCGTGCTTCGACGGGGATCGTTAGAGGAAGGCGTCACGGTGGTGACGTCATCGTACCAGTCCTCGATAGTCTCCGGTACCGACGTGGCATCGCCAGGATCCATGGAAGTACCCATGACGGCGACTCGATTATCGGACGGTGGAGACTGAGAAAGCAGATAATAGGATAACCGGAGGTGCACTAAATTAACGCTTATTGAGTTCGCGTCGGCAGAAAGCAGTCACTTGTCTCTCTGGAATTTTGCATCGTCCAGAGCCACCATCATGGCGAAGGCTTCCGAATTATGACGCACGACAAACGACGTAGACACTGGAGGCAAGGGACGACCTCCAGAATTGTCTGGCCTGCTTGCTGAACAAGCGAGGGACCTACCGAATGCAGCAGTAATCTTGAGGAAATTAGAGCTGTGGCGTGGTACCTCTGGCCATGTCGGTGGACTGGCAGGGCAGAAGCTGCACCAGCAAGCGTGGAAATCATGTCATCCATCCCTCCTTCCATCTCCTTTGCTGAATCACCTTCGCCCTCTCCCATCCCATCCTCCATGCTATCCTCACCCATGCTATCCTCTCCCATGCTATCCTCTCCTAGGCTACATCCTTCACTGCATTGCTGAATCAGGGCGTGTCCAGCGCGTAAGTTTACGGTACACGGATCAAGGTTCAGTAGGATATATCACGATCCGGAGCGGTTCTCGTGCCTCACCACGTTGGAACTCTGAAAACATATGAAACCGTATAAAGTGAATTGTAAACGAGCGCGCTGGACACGCCCTCATTATCCGTGCAGTATTCCTGGTCCGCCACTCCCAGTCGCCCTCCTGTGATGGAAAGTGCAGCTCTAGGGCGTGTCCAGCGCATTCGTTTACTATTCACTTTGCGGATCAGGTACAGAATTTTGTCCTGGTGACCCGAAATTTTGTGTCCATTCGGACACGCACGATAAATTGACGGTTTCGGCGGACACCTTCCAGACGTGCCCACAGACGTGGGCCACACATTTCCGAACGGAATGAAAATCGTGCGCAAATTATGTACACGGCAGAAACGTCCAAATCCTGGCTGGCGAAAGCTGGAACGCTTCAATTCGCCAGGATTTCGTGACGCTTGGGAAGCGCGGCGAAAAAACGGAAGAATAAATGGAGTTGCATGCGCGACTCTACTTGCATGCATAAAAACAGATTCAAGGTATTGACTACAGCTTGAGCCCGAGAGAGGAACGCCACCTTTTCGAGCCGCGGGGGCTTCTGTCGATTTGGTATTTCGCCGGCTTTCGCTGCTAGAAGCGAGGGATTCAGGGTGAGCTCGTTGGTAACTTATTTTGTCGCAATAGGGGAAGGTTGGGTGGCAGAGTTCAGATTGCGTATGTAACCACGGTTACGCTGTTTAGCGCTTCGACGATCAGAAACAACCCCAAGTGCTGTTTAATTAGCTCAACCAATAGGTCACGAATATGACATTTGCTCACAATTTGTGCGGCTTCGATAAGTGTGGAGTTGTTTCGACCGAATAGGGCTCTAGTTCAGTCAGTTGCCAAGGGGTCATGCCATGCTGAGTCATCGAGGTGTTTCCCGTTTGCGGTGTTCCGTAGATTTCCATTGCGCTCGTGTCCTTCGCGGCTTCGCGAAAAACGCGAAAGGTCATTTGGGCCTGGACGAACCGCCCTCGCGACGCCGTCCGAAAATATGTCGCGAAAACCAGAAGGCTGCAACTGCTTCGTCGCTGTCCACATGTTCATCCCCGCTGTCATGATGACTCAGCACAGTTGCCGGCGCGGGGGACTCTCTCGAAACGGATACTGCCCGTAAACTTCTTCTATTGGGCGAGGGGGTGCAATTGGGATTTTTTTTGGGCAGGGCACTTTGCGGACATCGTCTGTACACAAATAAGATGGCCAACCTGCCACTACGACGGCAACCTAGAGCCCATAGGGAAATTGAGCCCTACATTTTTTTCCCCCTGGGTGGAGTCCCGGCTCGTAATGCGTGTTCGCGAAAGCGGGCGGGACCTCTTTCCCGGAGCGAAATTCGGTTACCCTGATGTTTTCAAGTCAGTCTGTTATGTGCGCGTTGCGCACCCGCTCATCTGTCGAGCCACGGGCGAGACTCGTGTCCACTCGTGTCCCAGCGTTTTGCTGTTGATACAGTAGGTGTACCTCAACACATTCACACATGGCGAATCAATATTTCTGCGTGTGAAAAAAACGTCAGCAATTCGTCTTGGGGAAAAATGAACGCGCTGGACACGCCCTCATTTTGGTTTCTCGCCAACGTGAAGAAAGCACGCACAGCGGAGAAAGCAGGGGATTATCTCCGAACAATTACCCTGAAAAAGCAGGGACTATCTGCAGCAACACTCTGAACATGCAGGATAAATCCAGGAAATCCTAGTCTGTTTGGTTTTGGAATCCGTGTTCGAACCTCGGCTCCCAAATGTGCAAGGGGTTAACATTTCTGCGTTGATGTTGCGGATATAGTTAGGGACCGAGGAAAACCGGATCCAAACTTTCAACCTACACATATTTTTGCAGGGATTAAATATTGAATTTGATCGGTAGTTTGCTCTGCCTCGCACTGGGAACCCGGAAAGCCATCCATACTGGGTCGCGTGATCTTCAATAAACCCCTGGTATTTCTGGTTCAGCTAGGGCGCTTAGCTAGGTAGCATATGGGGGGTTTGTAACGAGAAAGAATGAACGAGAAACATATTTTTGCGGACTGTTTACGAAATATTTCATAATTTCGTGGATAGGCTCTACTTTTATGGACAGCACATCAAACTTTTGCTTCTCCCGTGGACTCGGTCCATACTTTCGTGGACAGCGGGCATACTTCCATGGACACGCGCAAAATTGCAGATTAAAAACGTGCTTAGAACTGTACATGTTGTGACGGGCGGAAAATCGGGACCGTCGCAAAGGGTCGCAAGCTGTTTCGCGTAAATGTATGATAAATTTCAGTCACGCTCAAAATACATTTTGAGCCTGTAACGCACGGGCTACAGTCGACACCAGAGTATATCAGCAGCACTGGGATAAATCTCGTCATTAAACCAGATACCAACACCTCACATGAAATCCAGTCTATTAATAAAAATAATGTCTATATAGCGTTTGACATTAGAATTGATCGTAACTGAAGCCCTTAAAAATATCCGCAAAGTCAATTTCAGAAATATTCTATATAATGAGCACATTTATCCTTTCAACAAATATGTATTACAACTAATACATATACTCGTTCAAATTATATAAGTTATAATTTAATATAGGCTTGGTATGTTGTTACTGAACCTTTCTGTAGGGGGTACAAACCCCTCCTTGTACTCCCCTCCCTTACTAATCCAACACTATTTTTCTCTCGATACTCTCGTCCTCCTCCTAGCTTAACCCCGCCGCCACATTCATTGCGGCCTTGTTCCTGCCTAGTATCCTAGCCTAGAGCTTCTTTAACATGGTAACAGAGCAGGTCGTTTCCGGTCCTGCCTTCCACGCTTCCGCCTCGTCCTTGTCTTACGTTTCACTTCGTACCGTGCCGCTGATGGTGGCCTTTCGTTTTCCTGCCGCCGTGGCGGCCTTGCCTTTCCGTGCCGACTTCTCTGAGATGCCGCGGCGGCTTAGTCGAGCTACAGTCGCACCTCCGCCTCGCCGCCGCGGCATCGACGTCGCATTGTGGCGGCGTCTTTTAGCTGCCGTGGCGGCGTTATCGGGCGACAGCCGGCCGCGCATCCGTCGTTTGGCTGCCGTAGCGGCGTCATCGGGCGACAGCCGGCCGCGCATCGTCAATGGTGCCGCCGGACCTGCCGCCCGCTCTGCAGCCGCCGGCGTGATTCTGGACTACGCCCCGCGCCCCTCTCCCCCCCCCCCCTCCCCCCTCCTTCCCCTGCTTCCCCCCCCTTCCTTGCTGCAGCCAACGACTGCCTCATGCGGGCCCTCCCCACCGCCAAGGTGACTGGACATGCCGCCGAGAGGGCGGGGGCCGCTGCACCAGCCTCTGACGTTCATGCCGCCGCTGCCGCCGCTGTTGCCGCGGGCCGGGCGCCGCCGCACGCCGCCGCCGCCGCCGCTGTCGTCACTGTCGCTGCTGCCGCCATTGCCGTCCCAAGGGCCGTGGGAGCTGCCCACTTCCGGAGACGTTGCGGCTCTTGCTGGACATGGGGGTGCTGGGCTAGGGGGTGTGGATGTGGGTGTGGGTGTGGGTGTGGGGGTGTGAGTGGGCTTGACACTACCAAGCCTAGGGGGTGTGTTCAAATTATATAAGTTATAATTTAATATATGCTTGGTAGGTTGTTACTGAACCTTTCTGTAGGGGGTACAAACCCCTCCTTGTACTCCCCTCCCTTACTAATCCAACACTCTTTTTCTCTCGATACTCTCGTCCTCCTCCTAGCTAAACCCCGCCGCCACATTCATGGCGGCCTTGTTCCTGCCTAGTATCCTAGCCTAGAGCTCCTTTAACAATACTATTCAATTTGGTGTTTTCTCTAAAAATCCATTGTATGCTATATGCCTAAATAATGGAATTCAATGATGAATTTGAATGGGAATTTTCGTTGAAAGTAGAATGAAACACTATCAGAAAACCATTTAGTGTTTATAAAGTTCTAAAAAATGAATGGAAATACATGAACTACGAAATCTAAACAGTGTGCATATAATGGAGGCTCTTATGGAATGAGTAATGTTCAAATACCCATTTTTCGCCTTCAACCGTGGATGCAAGACTGTATTTCTTAAGCGCAGTAGTGTACGCGCCTTTATGTTTGAGAAATCGTAACTACCATTCTGTGATAGCGTAGTACGCTTTTATGATTGCGGCATTCTGCGTCGAATTTGGCATGGAGGCACTAGCTCATGACGGTTTGCGACGCACTCTGTTTCTGTTTTCATTATATTTTTCCGCTCGTTGTTAGAATACGAGAATAAGTTACTAGAACATCTACCTGTTGGGGTTGTACTCATTAGGAGCACTCACATAGGCTAGCCTATAACTTCTACATACAGCATATGTATATGTTGACACTCCCCCTAGGCTAGAGAAGGGGTGGTGCAAGCAAGAAGCATACACCTCACGGTGGCACTACTAGTCCAACCACTGAGGCAGGGGTCCGGAGACCAGTAAGCAAGAGTACAAACAAGACTAAAGCAAGCCAGGACAACACTACTAGTCCAGCCACTGGAGGTAAGGCCAAAAGGCCAGTCAGACAGGTATATATAATAGAGAGTACAGAATCAGGGTCCTAACAAGTGAGAAGCTACAGGAACAAGACCAAGCTGTACACAGTGCCGTTGATGATCTTTAGGCGCAAGCGCCTTAGTAAAGACATCAGCTGTGTTGGCACATGAGGCTAAGTGAACTACGAGGGCCTGGCGATGTTACTGTAGCTCGCGTAGGGGGAAGTACCGCAGCTGGATATGCTTCGCTCTGTCCTCAAGCCGAGGCTCCTGACACAGGAGAATCATGGCCCTGTTCTCAGCATACAGGACCAGGGCAGAGCTAGGCCGCTCACCTAAGTCTGTGAGCAAGAAGGTCAACCA